ACTGTCACTATTGTTTCTACATCGTCATCCGTGTTTGGTTATTCTAAATTCCCGCTATGTTGGGGATTTTGTGGATTTTCTTCTGGAATCGCGATGTTCCTGACTGGAATCGGTTCGTGTTGCTCCTACCGTGTGGCTGAACACGAACCGATCGAACCTGTTGTACTTTTATCAGCTCTGTGATCACAGAGGTTTGGAGAATCGGCCGACAATTCTTAAATCTTGTCGTCTAAACCAGACTTACGACTCACAAGCTCTACTCATCTCCTCTCGACCACTGCCCAAATGCTCTTTGACTCTGGTCGCTATGGTAACGTTTACATATCCCTTCAAAATAACAAGCGCCACAAAAACGAACATTTTACTTTCGTGAAAATTTTAACTCACAATAATGACTAACGGGAGCCCTGAGCTTGTTTCTCTGCAAGGAGACATCAGGGAGTGATGAGAGACAATAACACCCGAGCTGTGTTCCTTGAGCACAGCCTGCTTGGTCTCTATGTGGCAAAGCAGCTTGAATCTTGGTCGCCGCATGTTACACAGAGCTGCTTGTAATGTGGGACTCACCTACCAGTCCAGGATAAATCCATTCTCCTGTCTCTTCTCTGGGCCTTTTCTCTTTTGCAAAGAAACTTTCCAAAGACATCTGATCTGTTTCTTACTCATTTTGCTGCTTGTGGGCTCAATGTTGGCACGCAAGTAACCCGAGACTTCCAATGATTCACTTCCTGCTAAAGAGCCCCCTGGTGGTTGAAGAAAAATTCACATATAAACGGCTTATAGTCCGGAAAATACGGTAAATGAAAAAAATAAAAATATCTGAATGCTTTCTGGTATTATTCAGGGGGCCGGACCAAATGTGGAGGCGGGCGGGATCCGGCCCACGGGCCGTAGTTTGGGGACCCCTGGGTTATATGATACAGCAAACTGAAATAACTGATCCAAACACCCACAAATTTGGAAATTAAAATTAAGATCATCAAACTTTTTCATATAACAAAAAAGAGCAGCCAGTACTCACCGTTGATAACTGGGGTGTATACTACAATGCCGGCTAGGTTAGGGTCAGACACTGTTTTGTCCAGAATGAGTCCTCCAATACTGCAACACACAACATACACAGATTAACTGATGGTGTTATTTTTAACATTAAAAAGGGCAAAAATAAAAATAAAAAAGAACAAAAATAGAGAAGAACCAGTTTTATCATTTGTTGACTAGGAGGTGAATGTGGAATAAAGGATCTGGCCTTACATGACCTTACACACAAGGACCAGGTCCAGTTTTTATGCTTGCTGCTCATATGTACTGTTACCTGTTAAAAATGGTTTGTATTGGTGCTGTGTGGGAGACTGAACTGTAATTTCCCTGTGGGTAAATCCCACAGGGAAAGAGATGAATAAAGTTTCCATCCATCCATCCATCCATCCATCCATCCATCCATCCGCAACAGATTTTCAGTTTACATTATATATTTACAATCACCTGTGGTGTCTGTTAGTGGTTATCTCTCAATCATTAATTAAATCTAAACTTCCCCCAAACTGGAAGAGATTAGAAATCAGTTTAAACGCTGAGAGAAGTTCATGGTTGGCACACCAGGTTGCTCTCCAAGCAGGATAGCAATCTTTTCTCAATAGCAGGAAAACACAGAAGCTTTTGAAACTTTGTACAGCTACTGCTGTTTGGGTTCTCCTCCAGAGGTACTGCAACAACCTTTCAATAGCCATCTTTCCATCAACATTTTTTTCTAATGTATTGCGTTAGAAAAGGTTGATGAAAATTCAAAATACCGTAATACTTCTATTTTGTAAAAATGTTTTTCTGCTTATTTGTGTTTCAATGCATCAAAAGGAAGATGGAAACACATTTTCTGAAAAAGTTCTGAGGTAATGAACTTTCACCGCCCAAACCTCCAGAATGGATGGGAGGTCTGTCAGCATGCAGTGGCTGGCGAGAGGCACTCTAGGCTGGGATGGGTGTGGAGGAACACTCCCTTCCACTGGTGGTGGTGGAAGGATCGGAAAATTTCAAAGTCCTAACCTCCAGCTCTGAGGACGATTCATTTATCTGAGATGTGTGATCCAAAACCTTTATTTGACCAGGAATGTCTCATTGACATTAAAAATCTATTTCAAAAGAGACTTGGGTAAACATGCTAGTAACAACCTCTACTTCCTGTTTATTCAGCCATGTGTAGCGTCAACATCTGATGAAATCCCACTTTCCGTGATTTGCTTCAAATGAGTGGATGGAAACAAGCCTAATTCTTTCTTTTTAGCGGCGGTTTAAAAGTTTGCTCAAAAGTTGCTTGACAGTTGGATGGAAACAGCTGAATCAATCAATTTTACTTGTATAGCACATTTCAACAAAACTGCAGTCCAAAGTGCTTTACATTGTGAAAACATATAAAAACATCAGCTGAATAACAGCAGTTCAGTCATTTGACCCAGGTGTGTTTGGTTAAATGAAATCACCAATTGGAGCAGTGAAAGTGTCATCGGTCATAGTTTGACTGAAAATCGCTGCGGTCAACTCCTCTCTCTGCAAAAGTGTGGGAGGAGTTAGTGCTCAACGTCAGCTGACCTGTTACATTGTTTCACAAATTTTTCACTTCTTATGGCAAACAATTACATTCCAATGTCTCAGTCAAAACGGACCTGATTATGGAAGGTATAGCTGATGTTCATGCAGTTCACTAGTACAGGAGAAAATATATGTCCAGCTTTGGGGGCCGACAAAAGGAAAGCTGAGATTACAGCAAAGTCGCTATGGTTTATCTCTTTCCATTTCAACGTGTCACAGACCATACTGGACTGGAAAATGTTTATCTGCTTCGGACGCTGCTATCCCCCGGTTTAGTCTTGGCTGGCCACTGTATTCTGCGTCGATGCCTGAGCTCTGTATTCCACACCTAAAGGTCATAAATCTTCAGTAACTTCCAGCTGCTTTATTTTCCATTTCTCTCTTTCAATTTTTTCTCGACTCAGCCATGAAAATGGATGCAACCAATGCTGCAAGCCAGAAAACATCTGACTAGAAAAGGAGGTCGGAATGATGATAAATGTCATGTAATAAAAATCACAGCACGGTTTTCTTTCTACTCACTCCCTCACACACAGGTTTTGGATCTGCTCCTAACATCTATAATTAATGAGTGTTTGTTGCAGGAGGGCTTCTTGCATTACAATAAAAAAACCACACAATAAAATATTTAACAATTTAAGATGGTAAATAAGGGCTCTTTTCTTTACACATACCTTTTATTTTAAGTAGATCTAGTAGAAAAACATATTTCCTGCAAGAAGTTCCACTTTTATTTGTTGTACCAATATCTCCATTCGCTAACGCTGAAGGTATTAGCTGACACAATGAGACAGCTCTAACCTGGAACCGTTTTAGAGAAATTGAATTTTTTTTTTTTTAATGTTTAGACTTAATTTTAAACCGCAGCAATGTTTTAACAGCACAAGGAAAAATATATTGTATGATGTGAGGTATCAGTAGGACTGGAGAAAGTTGGTATCAATAGCTGCTTTTCCACTGACCATTTACTTTGACATTGATATTTGGCATTTCAAAAATAAATTTGTTCAACGGAAACAATTTCTGTTGAATGACAGAGATTGCTTTAAAGGTAGGACTGGATTCAGAGATTTGTGCAAATTGAAATTACAAAAATAAATTAACTTAATGGAAACACAGCAATTTTGAAAAACAACTCATTTTTTGATGCAAAGTTTTGCCACCTTAACCTCTTATTTAAACTAGAAATGTTAACCTTTCTAAGGTTAAGGTTAACCACCTTAACCTCTTGAGGTTAAGGTGGCAACCTAGAAAGGTTAACCTTTCTAAGGTTAAGGTGGTGCTTTGGCTGTACTGAAATTGTTTTCTTGGCAAAACTACAATGGAAACAGTTTTTTCCCCATCACACAGGTCACATGATCAAAATTCTGATGTTGCCGTTGATCCAAACCACGAAGAAGAAGATGACGGGAAGTAGTTGGAGAATGATGTTGCAACATATTTATTTATTTTTTTTAATGACTGATTGTGTGAACAAACCTTTTCACGCTTTTTACTTGATAGAAACACCGCAGTTGTGTTTTTTGATAAAGTTCTGCACACATTTATAAAGGGAATGCAGCTTGTGATATCAGAGTTAAGGACATACTTTGTGTCCTTCCTGTGCTACTCTTTCAGAACATTCACTCCTACAAATATTCCCCCTAAACTGATAATCTGACTTAGGTAAGTTTTAAATAATATCCATTCATTCTGAATAAACCAACAGATTATTGTTGATATTTCAATAATCAACCTAGGTGATGATATGCACTGCTAGTATTAATTTTTCCTGCATCTCCCTGGCTAATAAAGAGTGAAAGGCCGGGTTGAATTATGTGCGCCGAGAGAAAAGAAAGAGCTGCAGAGGAAGAGAGTTGTTTCCCTCCTTTGGGCTTTATTTTTAAGGAGCCAGGCTCAAGGGGAACGGAGGGTGTGAGCGCTCACTGCTGCAATTTGTTTAAGGGAATGCGTCATCCAACAAAGCAGATGCTGGGAGAAGCATAAACAGGATGCAGTGACTAGCAAAAAAATTCATAACAACAAACCGAAGTGTGTTCCAGTAGAATTGGGTGTGTAAAAATCAACCTGAAGTAGCAGAAGGACATTCAGAGCTTTTTAAAGCTCTAGCAGCTTCACATAACTAGGAGCTGATATTTTCACTCTCTCTTTACAAAACAACTCAAACTCAGCAAACCGTATGGAGAACATCTGTGAACATCAGTCTTCAAGGATTGCAAGATTATCACCCTGATAACTCACTAGAGGCTGCAGTGTAGGTGTTGGAAAGATGACACATGAAATCCTCTCAAGATCACAAAACCCACACTTTGAGTTTTTCTTCTCCTGACAACATAACACACACCTGCTGATGACCATGGCGGTGATGACTGGCTCCCATCCGGAGTACAGCAGCGTGCGGCTGGCTGGGTGCTTGGAGGAAATGACGATCCACAGAGGAGTCAGACACATGAAGAAGGCGCAAACCAACGATGATACGTAAGGATAGGAGTCTGGGAAGATAGCAGGAGAAACATGCTGAAAATGCATTTCTTTGGCTCCCATGGACATCATTTATTATTACAAGTTTGCATAAGTTATTCTAATTGTAGAATGCCTTGTTTCCACTGAGTGGTACGGCAAAAGCGGCCCATACCGACCCATACCGACCCGTAGCATACAGTACTGGTGGTGGAAACGCTCTAACCGCTCCTACCAATGTCCTAAGTGATCCTGCTAATTCTGCCTTACACCAAGATAACAAATAAATTGCCAATGAGGATGAATGATCTTTGTCTGTTCAAAAACTAAAATGCAAAGAGCAAACACACAGTAACAAAGTTAATATTTTATTTCAAGTAAGTATTTCTGAGTTATGGTTTTCTGCATAAATAGAACCATGGACGATACCTTCCGTCTGCCATGACCCCTTCCCCAAAAAATCATAAAGAAGAAGTCCATTTAAATTCTAGGGTAGTATGTAAAATAGTCTCCATAATCTCAGCAGTAAGTAGGGGGCGCCAAAACTACATTACTATGCAGAGAACCAATGGAAAACTAGCTCTAGGTCCAAATGATACATCATATTTGTTTTTCATCTGGTGCACTCTAATGTTGCCCTGGGCATCAAAACTACCACTGAACGCCAGGAAATAAAACTCATAGAATAAGTCAAATATTTTTCTGAAGTTAATTTCAGTGTCTAAGAAAAAAATAATATTGGACACTAGAAACCCATGGTGTTGCACCCTAATCAGGGAATTAACTCCAAACACCTGCAAAGGTTTCCTGAGTTTCTAACAGTCTGGGTCAGAACTCTTACAAACAAGATTCAATCATAAAAACATCATTGTATGTTATTAGCACTTTATGTAGCAGGCTAAAAAAGCAGTACATAATTATGATGTAAAGAAAATGATGCAGCTCTAAACTGAATTTAATAAGCTCTGTTTTGAACAGTACTTGTAATTGAACTAAACTCACTGCCTGACAGACCACATTCAAACAAACAGGAAAATAAAAACCGAGCGCTTTATTTCATCACAATTTAACTTTAATCTGCAAAGATGAAACTTTTGTGAATTTTGTTTTGCTTTTGTATGACTTTAAACTTGATATTTAACGCTCCATCTATTTTGACAAAACTTGAGCCATTTTGCAAAGATGAATGGGCAAAACTGATAGAGATATGACCCAAATGATCCCCCATGAACACATGCTTCATTTTGTTTCACCATACATTTGCAAGGCACTTTATACACACACGTACACACACAGTGCATCATAATATTTTGTACAACTATGCAGTTTTCTGCATGTGGAGAATTTTGACTTCCATGTGTTGTGGTAGCCTCAACAACAGCAACTGCCATAAATAAACCTATCAGGATCTGAGTCCCTGCAGCTGTCATGGCCATCACCGTGGCGACATTTGGTACTGGGCTGACTGGATCCAAAGTTAGAAGTTCTGCAGATGTGTTTTGATGTGAATTTAACAGAAAGTATCTGTGTGACTGGGGTGAAGAACAACAGGGCTCCTGTTTGCAGTCTCACTGTACAGCTCTGTCCTAGAACTATTTAAATTTAGCTCCAAATATTTAATCGTTTCTTTTATTAATAATTTTACACATTTCTATGACTGCATGAAACTTGACAGAGGTTCTAATGTATCGGGTAAACAGCTTTATTTGAGAGCCTAAGACAGGATGGTGGAACAGAATGCATCTATCTGGATGGGATCTGTTGGAGAAAGGACATCAAAAACATGCCGCAGAATGAATCAGGAGGGCCCCCTACTGGCTGACTGAGGGAAGTGTCTAATTACGCATCTAGAGAGTGAGGGGAATTATGGTCTAGCAGAGTTAAGCAACTTTTTAAAATATGAATGATTTCACAGGTAGAAGTGTTATTAGTATCAACATTTAGCAATGCATCAGATGTTTGAAAAAACTGTTTTTCAAATATATATAATCAGAAATTATTTTTATTCACTGTTTTAAAGCTCCAGTGTTCAAAACCTTTATTTGATTTGCTGGTGCCTCAGTTTGCAGAGGGTTGATCTGGTTTCAGGTCATTTTTTTTGCATGTCTTCCCCTTCTCTGTCTTTACCCTATTTCCTGTCAGACTTATTTCAATATGTATCAGCATTTAACTTTATGATAGCAGAGATATCCTTAAAGCATTTGCATCTTGAAAAAAATGGATGATTTAGAACCCTGAGTTTTGCATATTTTCAACAGATGTTTGTTTATATCAGTGGTAACGTCATAAAAAGACTATTTTGCTTTTTACTAAGCCTTTCAGTTTGTTCTGTCTTGATTCTATAAAAATGACATGGCGGAATCTGCAGTGTATGTTTTTGAACATTCTGGATTTGATTTAAATCATCCTCCCACCTGGTAACAAACATGATGTCGTCTTAATGAAGGTGCTGTGTTGAATTATTTTAATCCTGTGAAAACTTTTACTGTAAGACAATATGAAATGCCTGTTTGAATTTATTTATGAAATCTTAATTCATTATGTGGAATCATTTGGGAGCATTTGAAATGCTTTTCTGGAATTAGCTCTCCCTCAGAATGAGGAAAACATAAAACCCAGAAAATAAAAATAATAATAAAGACACAGCTGCTCCCTGCTAATAGTCATGTAATTTTGACTGTGGCTGTGAAAACTTCATAAACACAGTAATTAGCTACTGACCCAGACATTTGTAGAGGCCTTGGCTTATCCAGGCCAGGATGGCCAGAGTTATGAGGTCACCAAAACTGGCAGCGATGGGTGTGGCTACGTTGTCCGGGTTGATGCCGGTCTTCTTCGACCCCACAATTACCCCGACCATGAGGATACCTAAACACAATGAGAAAATGGCAGGGAACTTTAGCAGTGGTCATTACTAACATGACTTTAAGCTGATCATTATGGAGAGAAAAAATATAGGGAGTCACTGGAGAAGTGTCAGACAGGGTGGAAATGTTTGCTGCAGCCGTATACGAGGAGAAATTAAGTCAAATTAAGTTAAATTAACAGGAAAAAAAAAACATCTGTTTCCACTTCCAGAGGGGATTGGAAGAGGAAACTTTGGGAAGGGATATTTTTTTTAAATAAGTAAACATTTCAGTTTCCCGATGGACAAAGATAGAACCCCAAAGCATTTCAAAGAAGGGTAAAAAGAAAAAAAAGGAAACAAAGGAAAAGGGGCAAGAAGAGAACAACAGAGGGAAAAGTAAGTGGAGAAAAAAAACAGGAGGAAAAGAGGAAAAAAAATTAAAAGCAAAAAAGAAAAAGTAGAAAGAAAAAAGGGGGAAAAGCAAAAAAAGAGGAAGAAAAAAGAACAAAGGAACAAAAGAGAAATAAAACAAAGAGTTTATTCTCCTGAGTAAATATTTCCTGAGTAAAGAAAAACTAACCCTGACATCTCAGTAACAAACTATATCCGCAGAGAGGAGAGTGTTTTTTAAGGAAGTGGTGCTGAGCTCCAGTTGTGACACTTTATGATAGGAGTGTTTACCCTGCAGCAGGGAGGCTATGAAGGCCGTGGCCACGCTGCTTGAGCACAGCAAAACAGCATGGCTCATCTGAAACTTCCCCTCTGGGATCCAACCGAGTATGACGGCTGCTACAGCTGCCAGGAACCCCACCACCGTGGCCTGGACCTGGAAACACACAGGGGTTTCACTTGAGTGTTTAAAAAAAGAAATTAAAAATGACAAGACGACATTATTAAAAAGAGACAGCCTGTGTTGAAGAAGCACATCATTACATCTGAGTATAATCTGCCACAATCATTACTGATGTTATTCCACAACGAGGCACACAAACAGCCCGTCATCCCGCGGTGACGTAGCTGTGTGTTCCTGTGTGTTTAGCAGTGTGTGGGAGGATGATCAGCAGCAATCACATGAAAACTCATCACCTACTGTCAGCTGCAGCTCATGAGAAGGTAAAACAGCCATGGCCTCATTCCTCTACAATAAATTACATTACAGTAAAGAGAAATGTTTTTCTTCCAACTTTAGGTACAACTTACTGTGTTAAAATATCCGTAAATGTGAATATGAAAAAAGTTAAATCAAGAATTTGATTGACTGATGAGAATAATAAAACCTGGAATTACAGAAGCAGTGCAAAACACCTCTTCAATTGTTTCACAGTGTTTCTCACGTTGCTGTGACAAACTTCAGAGTAATTTATTAGGATTTTATACAATGGACCAACAAAGTAGCTCACCGTTTTTAAATAATTCATGTTTTTAAAAGAATTGTTCTGTGAAGGCTTATAGGTTTGATGGAGAACAAACAGCATCACAGAACAAACCCCCCAAAAAACAACTCAAAGATCATTTTGCTTCCAATTTTAAGACATTTGCCTTTTTGTGCTCGTTTAACCCATAAAATCCCAATGAAAATTCCAAAGTTAAACTGTGAGCACGTATTGGGTGCCAATACTTTTGCGGGGTGCTGGATGGGAGCCGGCTGGGTAACTACCTGCTTCAGTGCCAGGTTGCCGATGATTAGGTTCCACTTCTCTATGGGAGAGTCCATCTTCCCAACATTTACCTGCATACAGAGTGATAGAGAGAGAGTAAAAAATAAACAGTAGTGCAGTGCTGAAATTGTGCTTCAGCACTGCATGACCAGAAGGGGTTAAATGTGCTTTTAGAGGAGCTGCAGAGGGTATTTGATCTGACTGAACTCTGCTTGTTGTTGACACAGTGCTGTGAAGGTGGAGCTCCTCCATGCAGGGAGCTGGGGGCCAAAGAGGGAGGGGCCCACCAACTGGAACCCCAACAAAGACCCAGTTCTGCTCTGTCTTTTCTTTATTCAGCTTCCAGCTCTGTTCAGATTGAGAAGTGGAAAAATTCCTCTCTACCTCCATGTGAACAGAACAGGAAGTGTGTTTAGCTGCCACCTGCTGCAGACCTGTACGAGAGTTTTCCAACCTGACCCTTCCAGAAGGATGTTGGGATCAGATCGGTTCTCCTCCAGGTTTCACAGATGTTCCAGCAGCTTGACTCACACATGAACTAATCTTAACCAAAGTGGTAAAAAATGGCACATTTATGTGCAAACTGATGACAGAACTAGAGAGCAGGCTCTTCCACAGCAGCAAGCTGATTGCACATGTTGCCATTAGGCACAGGTGACCTTTAAAGAGTGGGTGAAATTAAACTTTAACCATGACATGCTGTGATATTATTGCAAAAATGCTAAAAGTGAATATAAACTATTTAAAATGACTTTGCATCCATTTTATGGTAAAAGTACAGCCGTGTCTGCAGGTCACAGTACCTACTTGTGTGCAGGTGACATCAAGAGTTTTGCACTGACATGAAGCTGTGTTGCGCTTTCAAAATAATGTGAGTTATCACATCCCCAGTTCCTACTCCTATCTATCAGTGTGGAATGATAAATGAGACAAATACTCATACCTAGTACTGGTATCAAGTCATACAAAGTATTAATATTAGAGATGTGCCGATCAGGTT